TTATATGTATTGGTACTATTTTCATAGCTCAACTTTTGCTAGGCTGCGTTCAACTAGGTTGCAAATAAACAAATTTCGTGACGCATCTGGTTTCGATGTTTCGAAAATAGGCTGGCCCGATTTCAATGCAACTGCATCGAAATCAGGCCAGCCTATTTTTATTTATTTTGAAAGGTACATTATAATATGTATGTGGTAATGATTTATATTACATATTTATAATTAACAAGATGACGTCACTCTCATTACGTCAGTTCCGGCGTCGGAGGGGTGATTGGCGCACAGCCCTCCCTCGTTTGACGGGCGTCGGAGGAAGTGCGCCCAAATGGCCAATAATTAATCATAATGTGACGCCTCAGATTGTGATGTGAAAAAATTAAGGAACTTTCAAGTCGAAGGAAGACAAAAAAGAATGTCTCAAAACATTGTGACGTTATCCTCTGTTGTCTTTTCTTTCGAATTGAAAGTTCCTTAATTTTTTCGCACCAGCTCAGCTGCTACATTATGATTAATTTTGCTATCCTAATATTTTTAACCTCCTCGCTTGCGCTGACGGAGCGAGAAGTAGCCAGAGTTGGAAAATTTATGGAAAAGCTGCCCCCAGAACAAATGGAGCGACACGTCGTCTGCTCACGTTTCGTGTGAGTAGAATATCCCTCCCAGTATTTCTAGAGTTGAGAAAGCATCATTTTGTGATGCAAATTTAACAAAACCTAATTTGTGCAATGTACTTTGAAGTCGGGAGTTGTACTTTCCTCGAAAAGTACCGGAAAAAAAAACAAAACAAAAAAAAAAACTTTAAGTAAAGTACAAAGAATGCACTTGGGGCGTGGGGAGGGGGAGGGGGGTTCGAAATGCGTATATATTATTGGGTCGGCTGGATTTCAAGGGGGGGGGGGGGGGGGGGGGGGGCAGCAAGATGCTGATCGATGAAGGGCAGTGTGGACTGCTGTGAATGGTCAGTTTAGGTATGAAATAAAATGTAAACCTAAGTGTACAATAATGTTAGAATAATCTTGAGCACACAAATTGATGTTTCATTCAAGTTCTCAAGGCTGTAAAACAAAAATTCTTAATTCAGATTAAAAATAAGCAAACAAAGCTTTTGTCATTAATAATGCTTTTGTCATTAAATTATGAAAATAAATGCCATTTTGTGTAGAACCTCATAACAGAGATCGGCATGTGAACAATAATTATGCCTTCTTAAAACAATTCAGCCAAAGGTTATTCCCAAGCTCACTTCTACTGCTTCACCTAATTTAGTTTTAATTCATTCTATTGACTACCTCGAATAGATAAAACAATTATAAATGCGACAACTAAACAATGGAGCTCAAATAAAAATAAACCTATAGAGCAGTTCATATAAATTTTCTTGCAAGTGCCCTCGCTAAATCCCGAATTTGAAAAAAAAATATATTGCCAGAATATTGCAGTCTATTAAAAATAATAACCGCAGCTTAATTCGGAAATTTTTACTGCTTCGTGAGTGTTACATTAACACTCACGAAGTTCCTTTTTTCTAATATAAACCCAACGCTGGAGTGTTTAACGCCCCACTCTGGGGGAATGCTTTCCCTTGAGCCCTCGGATGCACTGCGGCAAAGCAAGATAAGCAATCGCGATGCTTACTTCGCACTGACTGCTTCACTGCAATACACAAGAGCGTGGCGGGAAGCACACTAAACAAAGCTGACTTACATGCCAGAGCACCGAGAAATTGCGAAAATGGGACTACTGTTGGTGTTCTACACTGACAAAGAGATGAAATAGGATATTATGTTATTTATGACTAAAATCAAATTCTGAAAGTTTGCACAAGCCTACCATAACAATGCAGACATGTAGCAGGACCTGAGCCATTATATTTTCAGTATTAATAAAGTGAAATTAAGTTTTGGCACAATGTTGGCACAAGTTCCCCACATTTGGGCTAAATACTGTAAAACCCTTAATGTTCGCGAGCCCTCAATTTTCGCGAATTTCACGAATTGAAGAATTCGCGAAATTTAAGGGCGCGCGAAAATTTCAGTTTTTCAGATTTTCAATGCAGGCGTCTGGAATTCGCGAAATTTAGTGGTCGCGATTCTGTCATCTGTGACCGATTCGCTAAAAATAGGGGCCGCGAAAATAAAGGGTTTTACAGTATAGCAGGATGTAGCAGGGTAAGCTCTTTAGCACAGTTTGGCACAAATGGCGCAGCAATCACATCACTGAACTCAGCTACTGCACTGAATAAACTCGGTAGCCGAGTTCGATAAATTGTCTGCTCCTATTTTCTTTATCTACCACTGTAAATGTTTCCCTTCCCACGCTCCAGTCTCGGGTTACTATCACTATGGTAAACTTCCACCAGCTCACTGTGCACTAATGTACTTTCGTTTATCATAGGAGAGAAGTTGACTTACGTAGAAGTTTGGGCTAGTTGGTATTACATGATTAAAAATTCATTCAGTCAGCGCCTTGTTCGTCTACCTTCTTGCTCTTGTCCGTGTCCTTGTGCTGTTTTAATTTTTAATAGGAGAGAAATTTCTGGCGCACCTCCTGGATAAGGTTATAGCGCTTGATTCTCTACATCACCTACCGAGGGCCAGCGCGGGTCACATATTGACCGCGAGTTCTAGCCGAACGTTGACGCAGCACTTGTGCCAAATACCGTATGCTGATAGAAATGTGGAGTGGAGAGGGGGTTGCGAGAGGTCCTGCATAGGATGCACACCCTTGAAGCTCTGTATTTCCCAGGGGCCTCCTGGTGGCACAACATGTACTGAAGACCACGCAATCCGCCGTTCGCCTTTCATTCGGGCAGTACAGTGAAACCCGTTTAGAACGAACCCACGTACAGCGAATTATTGTCAATATCAAACTCACGAAAAATTTAAATAAAAATGCATGTAAAAAGTACTTTGTATAACGAACAACTTATTGGCTATATCGAAATTGTTTCCTCCGGGACGGCTTTCAAAAACACGCAAACATTCGTCTTCTAGCCTGTCCCTTTCCCCCCCAAAAGGTAGGAAAAAAAGAAAATTCCAAAAGCTCAAGTTGCGAACAAAATTGTGCGAAAGAAGCGATTCAGAAGGGGAGAAAGCTAAAAAATAAAATCTGCACGCACGCACAGAAAGAAAAAAAAAACTTTTCATCCCAAAACCGTTGCCCACGAAGAGAAGCGATTCAGGAAGGGGAGATAACCGAAACAAACTCTGCACGCATGCAAAAAAGAAAAAGAAAACTTTTTAGCGCATTGTTACAAGGTGGAAGCGAAAAGATGAGAAAGAAAGAGAAGCTCTCGCCTTACAACAAACACATATAACGTTTGTTATATATAGTGTTTGCTATATTGAACTGATTGTAGTGTTTCCTGCTGTTCGTTATACACGGGTTAAACTGTACAACAGCGTAAATGTTAGAAAACAGAACTTCTGTAGTGCACATAAAGGTAAAAAGTAAACGAGGCAGATGCAGAAATGATACCAGCAATGCATTCAGAGAGAATGGTGTATTTCAAGAAACGACTGCACTGATATTGTTTCCAACAATATTCCTGCTAGGCCCATGTTTTTTAACAGGACTGAAGCAAACACACCAAATCTCAATGCCAATTTGGAACCTGCATAAGCAATAAATCAAATGGCCTATGGACAAATGAACACATCTGTGTAACTGGCAGATCTATTAAATGTAATGTTTTTCACGATCCATCCCTGACTGGCAGTGAACCCAGAAATTTAGATGCACCAACAGTGATATAGTTCAACAAGTAACCTGGTAGTGTTGCCTGGCTTTACATCACAAGGTAACAGGGAAGACTTTGTCTTCTTTCTGGCAGAAACAGCTTATAATGATCTTTGTACTATGACATATCACAGGAAACTGACATAGACAATTGTCACCTAAATAACAGATGGCCTCTGACAACATTGTGGTTGTAACCTGCAAAGGCAAAGAAAGAAAGCCTATGGCTCATAATAAAGCACAAACCACTCCAACAGAAAGCAGAAATTGCTAGAGAAAACAAGACGGCAAAAGCCCGAGTCCCGTGGTCTGCTCTGTAATGGGAAGCTGCTTACACCGGAGAATTCATGCGCTTTAAGCAATCCAAACATGTACTACCATAGTAGCTGATCCCTCCTATAATTCATTACATCAAAACACCAAAAAGGTGGTGGAGGGAGGACAAGCCAAAACCAAGGGGAGCATTCTGAAGCTACCACTTCGGCCCAGTCTCTCAAAATATACTACAAAAAATCTCAAGCTACTACGGCCAGTCTCTCAAAATATACTACAAAAAATCTAACACACGAAAAACCACCGAGCTTAACAAAAAAGATCCTGCACGCATAGAACACTTCTTCCCACAGTATAAAAAAATATAAAAATTAAATTCAACCCATGGAAAAAATATGCCCCCGTTCAAACACGCAAACAAGGCTACACCACAATCTCCGAAGTAGACAGAGAGAAGCATACCACCTACAGTCAATCTCCAAAATCATACACGAGAGGTAACAATCCAGCAACTACATTCCCAGTATTTATGAATTGCTGAGCATTGAATGAAAATAAATGCGATGCCACTTTTCTGAAAGCAACAAAACCATCATGGTGCCACACATATTTCCTTTTAATGTAATCACACGAAACAAGATGTGTCCCATAATTTTTGCAGTTACCTCATAAAGCAATATAAAGGGAAAAAAAAAGAGTTGCTTGGTCCAACACTTTGGTCATTACTGTGTGGCTTAACCTTTAAGTAAAAAAAAGAATGAAAGAAAGCATTAAATACCGTGGGAAAAGCCGTTGCAGTACTCAAGGTCAGGCATAGTGCAATAATCCAAAGACAACTGCTAGGGTGATGGCTGAAGGATTTTGACTGCAACAGCAGCCAATTTAAGGAATAAAAAAAAAAAAAACACAGTTCGAGATATTTTCATGCAAAAGCAAGATTCATCCACAAGTTTGAAATGCAACACCTTGCACTGCATGCTGCAGAACTGGTAAGGTATTAAAAATGTGAAGAATATGAGCATGCAGCTGCAGCATGCTGCAAGACATGCTGCATCATTTAAGCCTATTGGAAACTAATGCAAACTAGAGTTGTCTGTAGGAGAAAGCACAGTATACCTGACCACGCAGAATCCCTTTCAACACCACAGTGCATCACTTTACCGAAGGGGGACACTGCTACGCAACAAGCTGCTCAGCTTTGGTGGACTCTTTGAAAGCAGCCCGAACGCAAATTTGTGACACATCCTCCAGACTTGCTTCACTGCCACTGCTCACTCCAGAGGTGTCCGTTGAGTCAGAACGACTTAGGGCCCGTCGTGCGGCTGCCTTTTTCTTGTTGGCGGCTTTCTTTTGGTTTCTCCGGCGCCGTGCTAATATACTGGAATTCGCTCTGAAAGAATTATATTGTGGCACAATTAATCCGGAACAAAGGAACGAGCACCTCGAAATCGCCAGATAACAATACCGTGGAATTCGCAAAATACCGCAATACACACCACACACCTTTATCACCTGACCTCCCACCAACTCCTTTCCGATCCCACGACCCTCCTCATAGCCCAGAAATCTCTCCTCCGACGGAATACACGCGCTCCAATTCCCTCCTTCCCGTGCGTCTTCTCCCTTCCCCGCAACCTTTCCTAGGAAGAAAAAGTCTCTCTCTTTAGGGCTGGGGCGGCCCTGACACCTGTCACCTGGGGACCCACAGTTTCCGACTCGGGAACCTGCCCTAAATGACCAGGCCCGTGGCTAGGGCGAATGCCCGCCACCTGCTGCGGCTCTGCCCCGGGGCCAAGACCATCCGTGAAGAGATACTCAGTGAGGCCGGACTAGGGACCCACCCACCCAACGGATCATTGAGAACAAGTACCACGAGTCTCTCCCGAAGTACCTGCACGGCGTGGGACTGCACTTTTAAATGCGAAAGCATTAACTGTCTCATGGAGCGAGCTGACGTCATCAGTTGGAAGCGCGAAAACAATGTATAGTTTCCCCGATCCTTCAGTTCCATTGGCTGGTGCGCCTCGACGGGGCTCCCATCGGTCGCTGCGCTCGTCAGTTTCCACGACCGCTCACGCCATGGCGCTGAGTGTCCATCAGCGCGCTGCTAGCGCGTGCCCAGGGGAGAATGCGCGCTGACCGGTGACGAAAAGTGCGTAGCAGACAAAAAAGGGAGCGGACGAGCGGCTTGCATGCTTTCACATTCACAACTCATAAGTAATGCTTAGGTGTATCTCAATCTTTTCGCTAACCCTCTCCCTTTAATGTGCCATGCAGCAAACTGTATGAATAAAAAATATGAGGGTTTTGCAGTATTTGCAAGATCAAATCTATGCACTATCTATAAGAAATGGTCGCTTATAACATTTTCAATAAAACCAAGCCCTGATGGTTTTATTGAATAAGGCATAAAAAAATTTGGAAATAAACGCAGATTGGAATTAATTGATAGATGGCACCTCTTGTTGCACGCAGTAACAAGCGGCTCCAACGCACTCAAACATAAATGTAGGATTCATACAATTCACTTCTATTTTCAGGTGCCAAAAGTAAGAAATTGCGATATTTAATTTCAATTCAGCCATGCAGCCGTGAAAGCTACACTTGTGCAGTTTGTGCAGGTGAGTTAGACGGCCAGGGGGACATAGTTTAGAGGGCCAATCGTAACAATCATCCGGCTAATTAAGTAAAATTTGTTGATTAACTTTTTAATTAGTGAAAACAGACATAAGGTTCCAACTAAAAACTTGCTGGGCATCATCGAAAACCACTAAATCACCTCTTTTTAGAAAGATATAACGCAGTGGCAGCATTTTACCGCGTTCCGCGAAAAACGCTCCATTTGGACACGTTTCTAGGTTTCGGTTTCTTATCGGAGCGTATCTCTGCACCTGGTCCTGCTCCCCAGTGGCCGAGACACACAACGCACATTCGCCCAAGTTCTCTCCATCCTACGAGGGAGGCAAGAAGGTGGCTTCATGCCGCAACCACTGAGGAGCAGGACCGGGGGTGCAGAAAAGCGCTGATAAGATAACAAAACCTAGAAACACATCCAAACTGAGTGTCCTTCTCAGATCGCCGTAAAATGCTGCCCCTATCCTATATCTTCAAGAAGTTTTTGATAATACTTAGCAAGTTTCTCATTGGAACCATATCTCTATTTCCACTAGTTAAAAAGTTAATTAACAAATTATAATTAACTGACTGATTGTTACAATTAGCCCCCATGCTATGTCCCCCTGGCTGTATAACTCACCTGCACAAACCGCATAAGTGTAGCTTTCACGACTTTTTTTAAACACGAGCTTGTAAAGCTTAAAAAAAATACACCCTGTATCTCTGTCTGTGACATCATATCTGTCCGTGATGTTAAATTTGTTTGCGACATGACACCTTGTTGCAGAGCTCCTCCTCCTCCCCTCTCTCTCTCTCTCTCTCTCTCTCTCTCTCTCTCTCTCTCTCCCCCCCCCCCCCCCCCCCCCCCCAAATCTACCCTAAAGCCACCCAAACCCACAGCCCGTCACACACATTATATACCGCACCATCACACACATTATATACCGCACCAAACGAATTGTCCATGAACTGGCACTTGAACTGCCAGTCTACCACTCTGTAATGGAAACAGGCTTCCTGTCACTGCTGGGGTCTGAGTTCTCACTTTGCAGTCGCATTTCTTGCTCCACCCCCCTCACTTAGTTCAGCGCTCCATTGCCGTTCCTGTGCTACTTGCCTGGCTCTTCCTTCTTCACCTCGCCGTGCCTGTCATACTGAGTAACAGCTGTGGTGATTGTTCTTGCTGCTCTTCACTTTCCCTAACCCGCCACTGACGAGCTGTTTCGGTGCGACGGCATTTTCACTTAAGATTTTCTTTCGTGAGTGGTCTTTTCCTCGGTGACATGATGCTACATAAAGCCCACAAACGAGAGCCTTCACAGTGCCTGCAGTCCGCCTAGCTGTTGAGCACACACTGAGGAGAAGTCACCATTTTAAGAGCCGTCCCCGTTTTAAGAGCTGTCGTCGATTGCCCACTTTTCTCCATCAAGGCTACATCCCAGGCACAGACACAGAAGTGCGAAGAGCTGGTCCTATAAATGCTGCACATTGATAAAATTTAATATTGAAGATGTCTTTGAAGAATTTTTAGTGTTCTTCAGCCCAAAAAGTTTCCATAGCAGAGGTCAAAAAAGGACAAGAAGTCTGTGTGGACATTCCATCCCAGTTGTGGCAGTATGCCTTAATTTGGCGAACTTTTTGCCTATTAACTTCTCGCTGGTGAACTTTACTCTGTACCACATTTTGGGTACCCCACAGGCAGTTGCCATAAATCTGTTACAGCGACAGGAGAGCAGTTGGACAGCTGCTAGGAAAAAACAGAGTGGTTGTTATAATAAAACGATTGATGTAAAATGTGGTGCCCTACTGTATTTTCTTAGCAACCAGGTGGACTTGTGGACATGGAGGGTATTCAACATGAGGATAATACAAGGGCAGCAGGTGAGATGTGCACTAACTCCCCCCAAAACTTTTGTTCAACTGCCTGGATAGGCCACGTAATGTCACAGAATGCATTTTCCTTGGCAAAAGTGCTCGAAATACAGAGCATCTTTACAGGTCCGTATTGCCTCGCTGTGCTCTATTATTTTTGCTGTGCCGCTGCTTCTGATGTGATGCGACACCACAGTGTCACGTGCCATCCGAGCGTCATGCCACCATGAAACCACCTTGAGTGTGATACAGTAAAACCTCGTTATAACAAAGTTGAAGGAGCGGTCGTAATTATTTCGTTATAACCATTAGTTTGTTATAGCCAATGTCCATTTCTTCCCACTATTAGCAAGCAAGGGGAATTATGATTGCTTTGTTATATCCATTAGTTTGTTATATCCCGTTTTGTTATAACGAGGTTTCACTGTACTACCATGATGGTGACACCACCGTCGTCATCCAGGCTACTTCCCAGAACGGATGCAAAAGCACCAAGAGTTAGCCCTAAAATTGCTTACATAAAAAAAAAAAAGAATAAAATATTTAAACAACTAATTTAGATGGAGCTGTGGCTGTAGCATACCGGTCATCCTCATCTTTGCATTTCCCCCGCAATTTTTCTCACTGTGTGGAAAGTAGAGGGCGAAGGCACGGAGGAGAATTATGCGGTGGGCATATTTCTCCTCAGTCTTCGATGGGAGGCTCAACAAATGACTTCTCTTCTGATGTTACTGCGAGGCTGGCTTCCTAATAAAATGCATTTATGAGCCAGCACACATGAGCTGATCAAATCGCTACGAAATAAAAACGTCTGTTGTGCCCTAAATATTGCATTCATTATTTTAGGGGCAAAGCTCCTTAGGGTCTAGCCTTGTCCGTCCGGCGTCCGTGCTCACATAGATTGCCATCCTATCTGTCTTCTTAAAAAAATTAAAAAAAAAAAAAATGTTTGTGCAGTCGCAAGGATTCGAACCTGTGCGGGGAGACCCCAATGGATTTCTAGTCTATTGCTTTAACCACTCGGCCACGACTGCAGGACGAGTAGGGGGCTCTAAGATGTGGTAGTAACTCAAGAGCTGGGGATGTCATGGATGAAACGTTGCATGTAGCCGCTCAACGTCTATACAGGAGAGGGCGCTGCGGTCAAATGCTCAACTGCATATATAACCACGATCCATACCACACATTCTCTTTCTGACATGGACCGTTGACTTAAGCGGTGGAGATGCGTTCGCACTGCTTCTAGCGGATACAAGCTGATCCGCTAGAAGAACCACTGGCTCTGCATTTCACCGACCATAAAGCAGTAATGAAGTCGAAACGCAACCCGGAACTCAGCACTACCTATGAGCAATAAAAAACAAATCAGCACCATCAGCACTACATATGAACAATAAAATCACTATCATCAGCACCACCAGAGCTTTGCCCCAATCAACATAATTCACCACGGGGAGATGCAGTCACTTTTTTCGGGGGGGAAAGTGCATTTTGTGACATGTGTGTCCTATCCAGGCAGTTAAAAACAATGTTTCTGGAGTGGGAAGAGTAAAAAAAGTGTTTTTTAAACAGCCTAATTGGGACAAGCATGTCACTAAAACAATTTTTCTGAGAAAAAACATATTTTTACAGCAATATTTATTGCGCAAAACTGATTTTTGTTCGCGGCTATTTCGTTCGTTTGACATCACGCTCCACAAAGTTGGTATTATACATCATGGAGTGGCTGCTATACGTCACGGAGTGACGTGCTATAGCCACTCTTCTCATTTGCTAAAGATTGATTGACAGCTTAGATCTTGGTATCAACCTTTGTGATATGCTGTAATTTTCTTTTGAGCGGCATATTTTTACATTTAAAGAGTTAGTATGTTTAGAGTTATTATTCTTTACAAAAGGTTTACAAGACGGGCCCTTCCGTTTGGATTCATACCATAACAAACAAAAGCTTTGCCATTCTTTTCATGGCCATCGAAGTCTCTGCTCCCGCCTATCTGACTTATCTTGACTTATAGTTGTTTCGCCTAATTTATCAGTGAAAGTCTCACTCAAGCACCTGGGTGCTTGAGTGAGACTTTCTGAAGTGAAGTATTGTGTGTTTAGCAGTTGTTGCAGGTGTTAGTGATAGGAAGCGACGCAGAGTAAGGCTTTCATAGCGCAGTTTGTTACTTTTGTTTTCCTTTTAGCTTTCTTAACGTGCTTTTTTTTTACTTGCGCGTGCAAATGCAGATTTTTTTGAGATGTCAGTTCCTGTAAAGCGGCGCCGTTGCTCTGTAAAGTGGTGCCAAATGAGTGATCGCGACGGTCAGTCTTCCAGCAGCCATGTTGTCCCGAAAGATGACAAACTGAATGCTATTTGGCTGGAGGCATTCGGGCGATCGCATAGATATCAAATACTTCCCGTAGAATGCGTATATAATTATCATTTACTCTGTACCCTTCGTTTCTCACTGCCAACACTCATGGATTTTTTGTACTTTATTTCTGAACTTGAGAAACGTGAAAGTAATATAAACACACGCCGTGTAGACACTTGGCTCCTTCCTCGGTGCCGCACAAAAATACAACCTCCAATCATTGCATTAAAAAGTACCGTATGTGTGAAATAAATGTTTCACGAACAACATAAACATCTACACAATTGGCAAAAAAGACTTACGTGCCTAATGTTTCAACTATTCATAGCCAATTTTGTTTTTCTGCTACTCCAGTGTTATGTGACCTTGTTTTATTTTTCTTTATCATCCTAATAAAGTGTTATTATGTTTGTTGTCCGAGCTGCTGCCATGTATAAGGGGAACCCAAACCCAGTCAAGCTGCTTTTAGCAGCTTTTTGTCTGGGGACCCCTCCAGTACTTCTGGAAAAATAAAGTTTATTGTACTGTATTGTATTGTGACAAACGTGCACAGCTATATGTTCTCGTCATTTCGCCCCGGAGGCCTTCGAGATTCGCATCGGGTGCACCGAACGTCCGCAACTAAGACACAGCTGTTACGTGAAAAACCTGGCACAGCCAGGTTATTACGTATCAGCTGTCCGCAGAAGCCCTCAGACGTCCGTATTCTGTGTTAGCCAAACAGATTTTTTTTCTCGGCTTCCGAACCATCTTACGTAAAGTTGTTTGAATTGAAATGAATGTGAATGTCAGCGGGACTGAACCCGTTGAACCTAAACCCCACAACAACTAATTTACGCTCCATGTTAGTGTGGGTTTCTACTTCCAAGCCCCGCACCACACACCATGAACGTTTCAGTTCTTTGTCGCATTGCCGTGTTGCACCAAACAGGAGATTGCCGAAATCAATGCAGCGCTGTCGTGAACGTTGGCTTGTGGTTGCGAACTCGTGGACCCTGTCAGTCCCTTCGCTTTCAAAGCACACACGACGATTACGAATGATACTTTCTGTCTTCCGGGAACATCACAGGGGCACTTCTTCGGTCACGTCTTCGCTACACGTGCTCGCAAACCGTGGAGCCTCTCGCGTCCCGACAAACCAAAACGATACCGTCGCCACATTTTCTCCGACCAAACAAAAACAACGAAAGCAAACCAAACCTAGCTTCCAGCGTACATCGGCGGCACCTTCCCCCCATCCTCCCCCTCCCCCCTTCCCTCCCCATCCCCCCCCCCCCCCCCCCCCCTTCCCTCCACTGATCCGTGGCAAATCTTCGACAAGACGCACCGGAAGCCGTGACGCTGCATACGTCATTCAACTCTGCAGCCAAGTCAATTCATGAGCAAATCCACGAGTGAGTGGCAGGGCATACCTCTGCGCGGGTCGAAAGAGCGGAAGTTTCAAATTCCGACTCCGACTAAATTACGTCCTGTGACGTAAATATTGCTAAAAAAAATTTTTTTTTCTCGGAAGATTTGTTGTGACATGCTCAGTGATGTGATTGGCCTAAGCCGCTTTGGAGCACCTTTTGGAGCAGCCAAAACGGTGTTTTGGAGCAGCAAAAGTGGCCTTTGGAGCAGGCAAAACAGTGTTTTGGAGCAGCAAAAGTTGCTTTTGGAGCAGCCAAAACAGTGTTTCAAAGCAGCAAAAGTGGCTTTTGGAGCAGATATTCTTAGAAAAATAAACATATTCGCTTAAAGTGCTGGACGAATGAAGGACACTTCGCTCGCCGCATTAAACAAATTATGGTCAAGTTCGACCACCTGGGAGTCTTTCAACATGTAACTGAAATGCCAATGACATGACACATTTTGCAATGCTTCCGTTAAATTATACATATATATGTACCGTTATAGATAAATAAGAACCAAACTGCACATACTAAAATTTATTTGAAAATGACCAGATTATTAGTAAATATCACAGCATTAGGTTGACTACCGTAGTTATATAATATAATAAATAGAAGCTGTCTCCGACTGATGAAACACGTAACTACTGCAGTGCAATGCGAAATTGTACACAAGACAAAGGTGCATTACGACTAGCGGGTGCTTTTCTTTTTGCTTTTCGAAACTCTCTACAAGGTTACTGCAAGCCTCGCTTTGCCTTTGGCTAGTAATGAATTCCCACTTTCAATGTCTCCAAAGAGACACTGAGACATCCCACAAGTGAACAGTGCTGTGGGCGTTGCCGAGCAATTCCAAAAAACCGCTTGCCACCGTTTTACTGCTTCCAGACGTGCCAGATTTTAGTCAAAAGTAAGCAAACGTAAAACAATGGGTTGCAAGCGTCCCGGCTGGTGCCTCTGTCGTGCAGTCATGTTCGCATGCACATGAGGGCAACCTCGGCAGGCTTGCATTTGCACGTGCTTCGTCGCGCGAGCGGAGATGGCTGTTCGATCGAAACAGACACCCTGCCACTCCGGTCCGTTGACAACTGGTTCCCAAAATTGTATGCAAAATGTAATTGTCCAGCATACGACAAAAAAAACAGTCCAGCGGCACGTGCTTGCCAGGCCGGCAGGCAAGGTACAAGCTAAACACAGAAAAAAAAAAAGAACCTGAGCGAGTCAAGTCAAAACAAAACATTGCGAGTCAGGGTCAAAAAGTACTTGGAGCGCTTTGTACAATGACTGAAGCACTGAAGCGTCAACACACGCCCGCGTCTATCGTTGAAATTAAAAAAAAAAAACGCGAGACGAGACACGTGAACGACGAGAGCGTGAAACGAGAGGTGGCGGGAAAAACAATGCAAGACTGGATGGACAATGGATACAGGGTACTTCTTGTTGGGCGGCCACTTGCGCTACCTAGCTCATGCATGCTAAGTTACGGTACTCAGTTTAGTTTCGGTTTTGAAAGACGACCAAAATTGAACTTTTGGCGCAGGCTTGGCGCAGATTACCCATATTTTGGCAAAATGTAGCAGGATGTAGCAGGGTTAGCCCCTTGGCACAGTTTGGCGCAATTGGCGCAGCAATCACATCACTGCATGCTTGTCCCAATTAGGCTGTTTAAAAAAATACTTTTTTTTTTTTTTGCAGTTACCCTTTAAAGGATTCGAAGGGCCTTCATACTGAAAAACTGTGGGAAAAAGGGAGCACAGAGGAGGACAAGCACAACACTATCTCAAACACAGCAGCAATTTTATTTCCACACTTTACACCTGTGTGCATTCCTTTCTGTGATCCCTCATTGTGTTTTCAGTATAATTCTTCACCCAGTTGCCTGCACATTAATTCTTATTAATGCGAAAGCATTAACTGTCCCATGGAGAGAGCCGACGTCATCAGCCGTGCCAAACGGCAGATAAATTCGTGCTGACGTGATCTGAGGCATCCCAGCTTTGAAGCCGCACAAAAAGCCACGCAAAACAGCAAGTAAATGAAGCCGAAGGGGCCCCCGTGGCGTCAGTTTCAATCAGTGCCACCCCATGGTGCTGCGTGGCTGCGCCGAAAGTGCAACAAAATCGGCTGGCACACTCAGGCGGCCGTGTTGCCGCCCGAGCATGCCAGCCCATTCTTGCAGCCGATTCCGTGCTACCAACAGAGCGGCGGCACGGCTGATGTCAGCGAGGCACGGCAACTTCACGAGGACGCGTGCAAGAACGACATTCATGCTTTCGCATTCACAACTCATAAAAAGTGCTTAGGTGTACCTCGAGCCTTTTTCAGAAGTGACTGTTAATTTAAACACAAGGAGATCAAGTCAGAAAGTGGAGATCTTCAACTTTTTTACACACGCTTTTCTTTAGACACGGCAAGCGGCTCGGATGTGATCGTACGATTTTAGGAAACCAGCAACTTAGCAAAGGGGTTAGTAGGTAATGACTTAAAGCGACTGTAAAATGTGTAAAGCCATGGTGTATAAATCTCCCAAGTGCCATCACAAAAAAAAAGTAATATTCCAGATGCCAGTTCCTTAAAGGGTCACTGACAATCCCCCAAAAAATTTGTTTATGTTTTGCCAAACGATCTATTATGGTGTCCGAAGACTACCCAATCAATATTTTGCTATAGCCTCACATATATTTTTAATAAAGCAAAAAGAATGCAACTGCTTATACCCTGTTAGTGTCCTTTCAAATATGGTGCCATGTGGAGAAAATTACACATTATGAAAGCACAAGCAACATAGAAGCAGAAAATACCTGTAGGTGATGTGGCTGATCTGATCGCTGAAACTGACAGATTTTTTTGGCTGAATGCTGTCCAGGGAGCTGGCAGGAAATGAGAGCTCAGAATCCAGGGTGTAAGGGAAATCGTCGCTGGACTCCGACATGGTACGCCTCCAACTCAAACTGTTCTTCAAAATGCCTCGAGGAGAACCCACTGGAATCTGTAATTATTATGCCACCATGTCACTCTGTCAGGTTGAGTGAGAAAGTCAAGCTTAGAAAAAGGGAGCTACACACTGGAAGCTAAAATTTCTCTTGGCATCCCTACGATTATGCGCCAAGGCAAGTTTCGTGTGGCCATGCTGCACCAAACTTTGGGCATATCTGTCAAAAAAAGGTGACTGTTTTTCTTGCATAAAAAAAATTAAACTAGTACTATGCATCACAAAACACTTGTCTCCACCTCAATGAAGCATGATTGGTTACAATAAAATGTCAAAGTTCCATAAATTCAGCATTAACCCCCCCAAAAAATTAGCAGTGATTTTTAAAAATTTTAATCAAGGTACCCATTTCTTGCAGCAGAAGCTGTTCGCCCCCATGTAGCTGACCGCTATCTTCTCATTGCCCCTAACATGTTAATCGGACAATGTTAAGTTCTGAAACATAGTTCGCCTTTCTTGGAAAAAGCCCTGCAGTTAAATGAAGACAAATGAAAAGTTAAGCAAGGCTGGAATGATGCTGCACAAACACAAAGCAAAATCTAGAGGTGTGCAAATATTCAAAATTTTGTATGATTAGCAAATACTGCTATCTTATTCGATTTGCAGTAGACTTTTACCGTTCAAAATATGAGCTTCTCGAATATGCGAAAATTAAAAATACAGTAAACCCCGATCACAATTAACTTTTAAGGGGCCAACCAAAAACGTTTTACACTGAATTATCTATGTCCAACACAACAAAAATATGTGAAACTTTTACAAATCTAAGCTAATAATATGCTGGAAAATGAAGTAAAGAAAAATAAACAAAAATGAAAGCGAAGGGTAGACCGGTAAAGACGCTGATAAAACCTTATTTTCACTTTACCTCATTTTTATTTAGTTTTAAAGGCTAGGACCTCTAGAATCAAGTGAGCAGTGCCATAGTGGGCATACACAAACCATTGAGTGCCCACAAAACATGACATCTCCAGATATATTGGCACACATAGCTTGGCACCTGCAACCCAACTGTCCTCGTCCGAAATGTCAGCATCAAGTGCTTTCTTTCTCGACAACTTCATAGAGTAACACCGCATCTCTTCAGCGTTTGATGTAGATCATAAGACACAACGAGTGCGGAGTCCCGAAGTTCGAAACACTGCCAACACTGCGACGATCGTGATAGTGCCTCTTCCCTCTCAGTCTCAGCGGTGTTCAATTGTGACAGTTACTGACACATACTATGGACCTAGCAGTTTCCACATGCATCCATATCCATGTGTGCATGGCACACTGTTATTCAAGGGCGCAGGGACTGCGGAGCTCGCAGAAACCGTAAAAGAATACGCCAAAAAGTCATCGCCTTTTTTGCTTTCAAAAAGCATGTTGTAATCGCACATTGCAATCTTGCCAAAAGTGGAAAAAAAAAAAAAGAAAAAGGGGGGGGGGGGGGGCTGGAGAGAGAGAAAAAGCATGTGCACAAAGTAGGTTGTCATCTGGAAATAGGAAGTACATCTTGCTCCACGAAAATCCAATGGCCTTCCCGCCGACAGCTTTTGTGTAGTAAAAACGGCTGGACACATGCAGCCGTGGGGTTTTCCCTTTGAATCGGGAAGGGTGGCTGCCACCATCTATCGTTGTGATAGCCTTCAAGACGGCGGAAACAGCTGTCTCAGCAAAACCGGTATCTCAATGTGTCGGCAGCAGCCCCCTCTCTTGGCGCAGCGCGAGAGCGTGGGTAGTATGATGCGTATGCATTCTCTCAGAAGCAAGTTGTGTCCACAGCTAGGGGAGAATTTGGTGCTGTAGGTGCACTGTCTAATGCAAACTGCAGATGAGAGGAGTAGAATTTATTTTGCTAGAAAAATATTTAGCAGAAGGTGCAATTGAAAGGAAGCGAAGGCAAAGGGGCAAAAGCAACCAAAGCCAGCACCTCTAGCGGAGGAGGTTGAACAAGGAATGAAAAGCCTCCCAGGGAAGGAGGAAGGAGAAGATTATGTCTGCCAGCGCAGTTTCGTTTTTCGTGTTTCGTCAAGTTGGCTTCCGGCAACGCAACGAACCCGGGTCGTACGACGTGGGATGCACGTAGTCATGGGTCTTGTAATCCAAACTTCAAATAATTTTGCTTCTATTGGGAGTTCGTTAAGCATATGCTAAACTGTCATAAAATGTGGGACTTCACATAAACCAAGCATGCATGATCGGCGTTCTACTGCAATGTTTTCAGAATTCTCAGATTTCTTACATCAAGCTTCACTACTTTGCACCAGTGCTCTGGCAGCAACCTTTACCGCTTCCCACTGGTGTGCATGCGTCAAGCTTCACTGCATTGTACCGGCGTGCTAGGAGAAACGGCCAACGTTTTTAGAGCATTTCGGTTTGCTTGATAGTCTTGGAAATTTTCTCTCTTCCAGGTCGGCCTTCTTCGGTTATAGTTATAGCTCAACCCTTGATTTTAAAGGACAATGCCAGAAGAGAAAACCTTGAGCTATATTCAAATAAATAAGATAGTCATTGCTTTGCTTGCCATGTTACATTCTCTTTTACCAAACTGATTGGGGCTTTTGTTTCCTTAATACAAGTACAGTGAAACCTGTTCAGAACGAACCCACGTACAGCGAATTATTGTCAATATCGAACTCACAAAAAATTTAAATAAAAATGCATGTAAAGAGCACTTTGTATAACACACAACCTATTGGCTATAACAAACTTTTCCCCCCAGGGAAAACTTCCAAAAACGCACAAATATTCGTCTTCTAGCCTGTTTCTTTCACCAAAAAAAAAGTAGGAAAGAAAGAAAATTCCAAAGGCTCAAGTTGCGAACAAAGTTGAGCGGAGAAGCGAATCAGAAGGGGGAGAAAGCTAAAAAATACTCTCTGCATGCACGCAATGCAAAAAAAAAAATTTCATTTCAAAATTGTTGCTCACGAAAGCAAGCGATTCAGAAGGGGAGATAAGCTAAAGACACAAACCCTACACGTATGCAAAAAAAAAATTACTTTCCAGCGTGTTGTTACAAGGCGGAAGCGAAGAGATGAGAAAGAAAAAGAAGTTCGCGCCTTACAATGAACGCACCGTGGAAGTTCATTATAAATAGTTTTTGCTATATCGAATTACTTGTCATATCGAACTGATCGTGGCGTTTCCTGCTATTCGTTTCAATGGGTTTGACAGTTTGTGAACTGTTTCTCATAGGTACGCTTTCGAGAAAATATTTCCAGCCATGATCTTCAAGGTATCCGTGTTCAATTCATATTAAATGTAAAAATATATTTGTATTCAAAAATATTAAAAATAGATTTGCAGTCAAATTTTAATATACATATTCAATTTGCACACCTCTAGAAAAAAAGAAAATGCAGAATCATTATTTTCTTACAGCTGTCAGAGTGTAAGCATTCATCAGAGAGCAGGGAGCTTCATCACCAAACAATTAGTAGGTAATAGGGATGAAGAGGATATAGCACCAGGGATGCCCAAAGGGCGGCCTGCGAGCTAGATCAAGCCCACATGTACACTGAATGGCCCGTCAACACTCTCACAAGCCTTACCCCATAAAATTAATTTTATAATGCTGCTTCCAACATGCAACCCTCAGAATAACCAATGCAATAATTTCCTGCTAGCATAGGCTTCAAAGCAAACAATACTAGTTCACTGAAAAGACAGTGCAATAAACACAACATGCTCAGCTAGTTTGTTCAAATTATGTCTAAATTATAATATCAAGTTTATGTCTCTTAATAGCCAAAAATGTGCACACATGATGATAACTAGAAAAAGAAACTCACTGAATTTTAACTACACTCTTTAAGGAACAGCTTTAAATACGGTATGCTAATACAAATATTTAGGATTAATAATAACTTCAGATCTGCGTTGGAACTCGCATATTGACTTTATCTCCCGAAAAGCAACGAATAAATTATGGGCATTAAAAAGGAGACTGAAGGACTGCTCGAGCAAAACGAAACCAACCGCGTACAAAACAATTGTTAGATCTCTACTCGAGTATGCCGATGCTGTGTGGGATCCTTACACAAAATCTAATATTAACAAATTAGAAAGGATTCAGAGGAAGGCATTAAGATTTATATTTAATAAGTATGGCAGAAACACCTCAATTTAGGAGCTTTACGTAAAGGCCGGCATTCCGCTTTTACAAAAATGTAGAAAGATGAATCGACTGAAATTTTTTTTTTAATCTAATAAATGGGAACTACAACCTAGATTATCATGACTACTTTCACCTCAACACGTCTAAGGTCACAAGAATTAAGCACAGTAAATCAATTACTGAAATAAAGTGCACGACTGACTGTTACAAATAAACTTATTTTCCTCGTACTATCCATGCCTGGAATGTGTTACCAGAACAAATTGTCTCTTCAAACTTTTTGACATTGTTTCTAGCATTGATAAACAAATTGCCAGAGTTTTGAGGTCTCAGATTTTTCTACTCTGTGTGTGTTCCTGATTATTTATGTGAGGAGTTTTTTGTTTCTGTTTTGCTGCCCTACCACACTTCGTGCTTGGTTTATAGTAAACCTTGATCTATGTATCTTTCCTACGTTGGCTGCCACACGGCAACCAGTAGTATCAATAAATAACAATAATTTCATTTCTTTGACAATTCCACTGCCGACTCTCAATAAATATCCAGTGCCTTGTGCAAAACGTGTCACGCACCCAAGCTATATGGAAAACTTCAAACCATGCAACGCCTGAAAAACTGACAATGTTCCCTTCAACAATCCTTTATAGGAAAAAAAAAGACTGAAACCTGGATTAAAAAAAAAAATGATTTATCAATTTTCTGGAATGTTACTTTTTCAGAAAAAGCCATGCAATTTGCTGCAATAGAGCCAGGTGAATAATTCAAAACTGTTTTCCCAACAAAAAGCTAGTTTTTGCTAATGTTTTTTTTTTACAACGTAAGCTTATGCAACTTAATCAGTTTATACCAAGAGTAGTGATCCTCAAATGGGGGTCTGCGGACCATTTGGGGCCCCCGAGGCGCCCAATCGTCAATCAAACCGAGCAACAATTTTTTTTTTTTATTATTGCTGGTTGTTTTACACAGCTAAACAATACACCAAAGCATGCGTGTCAAGTCAATACAGTTGATTATTTTCAGTTTCGAAGCTTCAAAGTTGGTTTGCCCACAATCAGTTTTCTTCATTTACCCTTTCGTCATTATAATCGGCCAACACACCCCTCTGTCCCTGGTGGATAGGGTGGGGTCCCCCATCCCTTTCGCCAATCCAGGCGGGGTCACCGAAACATCAGTGGTTCAGAACCACTGACCTATAGATTACCTAACATGCGATTATAATTTTTGCTAAAGCACCAACATGCGATGAGCCGTGTCACATTGCAGTCATCTCAGCCAGAACGCAAACCGCCAGCTGGAGATACGCAATGCTTTGCCATAGAGCAGCGGTTCTCAAACTGTGGTCGGCGAATCCCCGGGGTCCTCAAGAGCGTTCATGGGGGTCTGCGCCAAGTAAAAATATCAATCTAAAAAAAAGAAGCCCCCCTATGCCATTGCACAAGACCTCTGACGCAGAATGCATCGGGGTCCTTGAACAGCCTCCGAAAGGGCCAGGGGGTTTGTGACTGCCAAATGTTTGAGAACCGCTGCCTTAGAGCCACCGAGGAAGCTAAGAGAAAGAGCAACCACCATTTGGCATTTGCACAATTTGGCAGAAATAACACAATACATGGCTTGCACGTGACGACAGTCCCGTCTCTCTTTTTGGAGGCCAAAAGCGCCTCGTTAACGCAGCGGAAGCTAACCTCTTGCGCGGCTTTTCACCCATTATCCGTGACCAAGCGACGTCAGTGCAAGCTATGTATAGAGGTTGCAAAGCTCTGAGGGAATATCCGTAAAGGAAATGCATACCTGATAAGCACAGGACTCCGAGAGTGACCTGTGCTGCCGTACTGCAAACAACACGCACAAATGAGAACCGTTTTTTAAAAGGACCGAAATATGTGCAAACAAAAATGGAGCAGAATGTGAAAGTCGAATATAAATGACACCATTATGAAACATTTTACATTTGTAAGTTACCATAAAATACCGAACATGCATGCACCAAGATGCGCGAGATAATTTGAAAAATTTGGCGATTGGGTCTTGCTCGAGTCAAACACTGACAATGTTTTTCAAAAACTCTGGGTGGGTACTTGCACCAGTGTGGGCACCGGCCCAATACTTCATAGCAAGTCTGTACGATAAACTTTAAAAGTAGCAACATATTGTACAGAATTTGGCTAATTTGGATGCAAGCACTTGTGTTAAACAAGATATTTTTATTCCTATATAAGTTCAAAGGAAACTACTTCTATATAGTATATTTACTCCAAAATTACAATGTAGTGAAATTGCAATGACACGGGGTAAATATTTCGGGACATCAGCAGTGGGGAGGAGCCAATGTCATAGGTCACACCTCGCAGCACAAGGGGTAAAAAAAGGCGGTCTATGAAGATGACCCTAGCACAGAAGACAAAAAGGGAAATGCAGCAAACCCTTACCAAATGCAGGAACAATGACAGAAGGCTTGTCTGCTTCAAGCACTGGACAGTCCACTTGTGATAATGCCAAAAGTCCATTGCAAGCATGAGCTTCCTCCTGCTTTGAGAATAAATAACATCACATCAGAATCGGATAGCATGAGCATTCAGTGATGCAGTTCATTTTTGCAGTGAAATAAAAACCTTGCAAATTTTTCTTGCTTTAGGGACATCCTGTAGATTCTGTTTTTTCAATATTATATGCATGTAGTAGGCCTATACATGTCGTATCGACTGGTACCATTTTGGTTTCATTTATTTTCACAAAATTATCTAGAAATTTTTAAATTTCGTAAAAAAAAAATTATTTTATCTATTATTTGAAGCTGCTTTATTAAAAGAGGTCAATTTTCATTTCTTCATTTTCTTTTCTATTGTTGATAATGCTTTCTGTGTGGATAATCAAAGTTCCCCTTTTTTTGTTATATTTTCTGTAGAAGTGCTTAAAAATACATACATGCCTCGCAAGTTGGCTTCACTGCAAGTTCCCTCCAAGCTAGACACTGGTTAGTTAATTTTGTTCTTTTTATATCACAATTATTGTTGGTAGTTTCATTCCAGGAACTGATATCAAGTGTACATCCCAAGACCAACGCACAACAGCCAGGACCGAACATGCCGAACGAGCCAAGCAAGCATCACTGAAGTAGAGAGATACCTGAACGTTTCACGTGCATCACAACTAACTGCCCAGCAGTTTGCTATGCATTTTTCTACCAGGACCATATGCAAAGTATGTTGAATATATATGGGAATGCATGGCAGCATACTTCACAGCCTGAATTAAAAGGACATTCAAGACAATTGGAAACTTTCTCCAATGAAGGTTTCTTCCGCTTACCGGCTGGTTCGAGAGGCTGGAGTATTTTTGCACGAACTCTCAAACTCAAAGTACAGTAATTGCATTTTACCTCACTACCACCAATGGTTGTAGCAGTACCATCCATTCACGTGTTTCTCCATCTGTTACATTACCTTGCGATCAGTAATGGACCTTTTTCCAGTAATCTTCTGCTCATGCGTACACTTCCGCCATCACCATTTTCGCAGAACACCGTTCCTGGTGCCCTGCGAAAATGGCGACAGCAACATTGTCAGCTTCTATCTTTGAGCGTAGTTAGACTATTTTGGTGCTCTGTGTTTTAGTATCGGTACTATGCGGTATAAAAAGCACTGAAAACCGATACAACGGCACAATGCCAATGTGCTTTGACGGGCAGAGGCATGTTCGGCTGCTCTTCATTTGTAGTTCGCAGACAACTCCCCAGACGGCGCTCCTTACTCGAAAAAGGTCCATTCTTCCCAATTGCCCACTAAATATCAGAATATTTACGGAAGACACAGACCTGAAAGTCACCTCTCCGTCACAGTGAGGCAGATAACTCAGAATGAAAGGAGCCGCCGTCTCTCGATAAGAACACCCAATCTCTGTAGTTCTCCTTTTCAGGGATGCTGAGGGTGTTGAGGTCTATCGGTGGCGTCTCGTTTGACTCTCATACAGCTGGTCTGTTTACGGCTCTCCGTGTTATTAATATATACAATTTATACAACTATAGACTTGTCAATACATTCAAATCGGAAAGCTACAGAAACACGTGTCTTCTTACGAATTTGGCACATCTATCTGTGAAGGAACCGGTTTACCCCACTCGTCACACAGAACATTGGGAGATGGTTGCGCGAAGGACAAATTATGGCTCTCAGATGAAGAGATATACGCTGCCTGAATTGCTCAACCAGTTTGATGCTAGTGAGCTGGATCTGACTAGGATGTCATTTAAGCAACTTAGAGAATATTTTGTAGACCTAAATAGGTAAAATACCAGTGATCTGGCAGTTTATTTAATATTTCCAGGATTATTCAATCTTCTTTGATTTGTGTGTTGTGTGCGTGTATTATCCACCTGTTTTGTACTTTCGCATGAAGTAGCATTTTTTCCTGTAGCTCTGCTGTTGTGCCTATGTAGGGGGTCGAGGGCCTTGTCAAGCTGTACTTCACAGCTTTTTCCTGCGACCTCCACCATCAATGTAGATGGAAATAAACAAATTATTTTTATATTTTTTCACAGGAACGAAGCTATGCCTTCATATTTCCCAAAATAAAACCAACCATAAAAGTACACCTTTGATGAATATTGGAGCATCTGTGTGCAGATGCCAGTATTTTCGGCTCCTTTTACAGCTAGCCTAAAATCAATTTTCTACAAAGAATTCATTATTTATTTATTTAAAATTGTATCAGACTTTATTGCAGAAATGACTGTAGTGTTAAATGTACACCTACCAATAGCTAGAAGGTTATAGTCACACTCATACATTTAGAATTGTTACCGGCTTACTTGCCATAAATAAATTCATAAGCAGGACTATTAAAATGAGTCTTACTGTACTTCCTGAGTGCAGCACCGTTCCAGTTGTGATGCTATTGACTATGGAACCGTTGCGACCTGAAGAGCCGATGAATATTTTCTGCTGAAAAAGAAACAAGAATTTTGTAACAAACAGTACACTGCTGTCAGTAAACTATTTCAGGGCTCTAAAAAGTCTAATTTATCTGCACTCAGTTAAAGAGCCCATAAAAGATGAGTGGAAGCCAATGTGGAGCACAAGTTTGCCTCCTTCTTGCACAGGGGTAGCAATGATGTCAGAATGCCGATCTCTTACTGGCTGATTGAAAAAAAAATAGTGGGTAGACATTAACGCATCTAGCATTGAGGTCTACCAACAATCCTTTCAACTAAAGCCAATCAGAGTTCGGCGTTGTTCTGACATCACCGCAACTGCTGCACAAGAAGCAGACGACTTGCTTTCTGCTCCGACACCTATTGAAACAGGATAGGTTCTCCGAGCAGTGACGAAGCAGCGTTCCCAGGGACTCCTCACGGATTGGGAGAGTTGAAGTGAGTGTCCTTGGTAAACTGGAGAAGTACTACTGCACAAGTGGCATGTGCATAGACAAAGCTCCATATCATGGACATTTTCTCTCAAACCAGCTGAGAAAACACTGTTGGATGGGCTCCCAAGTATGTGGCATAAACAACCAACGAAGTTCAGTAGGGTGAAAAAAATGGAGCCGAACTTTAGCTTCATCATCACGGGAATGACCGCACCACAGTGGGCGGCCTGAAAAGCGTCTGATCTGTGATTCGAGAATTGCCATGCCATGCCCCAAGAGCTGGCCCACTCACCTCTGTGTGTAATGAAGGGGCTACAGGATCTAAGGGCAACATTTGGAGTCGATCGAAGCGGGTGCCGACGCTCAGGGTTTCCCAAGATCCGGACCTCGGTTTCGTCTTGTATAGGAAGAGAAACAAAGTAGTCTTTATGCTCACAGCCTTGAACGTCTCCACGAGGGAGTCTCGCCTGAAGGGACTTGCGATCACGACGTTGTAAGAGCCTTTCGAAGAACGACAATCGTTGAAGGCGAGTCGGAAGGCCGCGTCGCACTTGCAAAAGGAGCCCGAAATAGTGGTAGGATCGGCAGCGACGGTGTGGAATACGAGCATGATCTTGTCGTGCGATTGACACGCTAGGAACCGGGGCACAGGCCCCGAGACGTCGCTATCTACCAGTGCGGCACAGTGATGCTCGTGGGTATCCGTGGGAGACAGTAAGGAAGAACGCTCCGTGAGCTGCATATTACCGAGCCAACGCTGCATCGCAGCTAAGAACGAAAGCTCAGAGTGCTCCTTCGGTAGCTCCCAAACGATCCACCCTTCCGAGTGCACTGAGCTACGGAGGCTCACAGCAGAATCGGAGTTGATCGGAGTAGAATGTCGCCCCACATTGCGACCGGGTGAGGTGCGGTGAATGGAATAAACGCCTGTGAGTGAGCATGCACTCGGAAACGTTCTTTCGGCACTCAAGGCAGCACGCGCCTCGTGGTACTGGAGCTGGTAGTAAAAGGCGCGGCAAAGGAGCCTCCTGTTCAATCCCGACTGCTCTTTTAACTTCTGGCGGTCCTGCGCAATGTCGCTCGTTTTGCACTGGCTGGGATCGTTGAATCGCTTCACAAGAGCCGGCTTTCCTCTCCAATGTAGCATTTTGCGAGAAGCGAGCGAAGCAATGGCGGTCGGCCCGGCAACTCGCAGAGCCGGTTCACGGAGTCGACTGCTACGATGCCAACGATGCATTAACGAGCCTGCGTCACAGTTCACATTTCCAGAGGTCTTCGGGAAGGCCAACACAAGCGTGCCCACCACATCGGTCTTGTTGACAGTGTCTTTTTCGCGTTGGACACCTTCCAAAATATTTTCAGAGATGCAGACGAACTCCGCATCCATGGTGGTGTTTATTGGGTGGTGTTTTGTTGTCTTTGCCTGCTTTTATTGATGATGTCTCCGTTTCCGCCAAGCGACGACAGGTGTCGCTAGGTGCCCGCTGGGCTTCTAGGTCTTGTGGGTGGGGCTTTAGGAGCGTAGCCAGCGTAAGCGTAACGGTGGTAACGGCGTAACGTTACCAGCAGCACGACCGGCTCTAAAGCCTAAAGCCGGTCGTGACCAGGAGAAGGCAGCTTCGCGGTTCAAGCAGAGCCGGCCGCCATCAGCCGCCAGAGGCCCAAAACGCCGAAGTTCTCTCCATTCTCTCCTACAGGAGCGAATGCACGCACCCGGCTTGGCGGGCTGTCCCTATTCGCACTCCGAGTGCGGATAGTGGTGGATTCTTATCCGCACTCCGGATAATTTTGGATTCTAATCCGCACTCCGAGTGCGGATTGCGTTGGATTTTTATCCGCACTCCTAGTGCGTGCGGCGAAGAACTTGGCGTGTGGCGTGGCGCGACTTGGACGCGGGAAACTTTGAACATAGTGACTTACTATGTTTGTGGTGTGACATTGGCATGTTGGCAGCACCGATTCCATAGAAATATTAGTGGTTGTGCGGTGTTTAATTGGGAGGAGACCTGTGTTTCAGAATGAATTCAATTTCAAACAAATGCATAATCGTAAACATATAAATAAAACAGCGCGAACGAACACAAGGACAAGTAGAAAAAGGGACACAGCCACAGCGCTGACTCGCGATTTACTCTCTTTTTTGTCTTCTTAAAACACGTCAACATAAGACGCGAGTCAGTGCTGTGTTTGTGTCCCTTCTTCTACTTGTCCTTGTGTTCGTTTTCGCTGTTTTGATTATATGTTCACTATGCACCACCAACTAGCTCACCTCCAAACATCACTGCAAATGCATAATCGCATCTTTCTTTTTTTTTTTTTTTTTGAAATTGATTAGCGTTAGGTGGTGTATTCGGGTAGAGATTGAACTGCACTCGCGCCTCGGGGGCTTGAAAAAAAGCATGAAAGCAGGACGTAAGCAATCCTATTGTTCCTTCAGTATCTTTTTTTTTTTTTCTTTTTGTTAACAAAATATTATTATTTGCAAAAAAAGAAAAGAAAAAAAGAAACGGAAGCTGGTTTAAGATGTGTATCATAACGCGCCTTCGCCACAGTCAGCACATTAACATTGTGTGGTGCTTAGCTGATAGGGGCAGTAATGTGGGAACGGTGGGGCGGCTAGCAAACAATTTTCAATACAGAATTTCAATACAGGACGAACGCGATAACGGGACGGGCGAGGGGAAGCCGGACGCGTGAATCCAGCTTAGGGTGACCACCCGTCCCGCGACTCGCGGGACTGTCCCGCATTGAGAGCGCGCGCGTCCCGCGTCCCGCAAGAAATACCAAAATCTTTAAAATGTCCCGCATTTGACATTGTCGTAGCTTTCACTACGCAAATTATGGCGCTTCCGAAGAACGTGCCACGGGGTAGCGCGGAGGTCGCTGATAAACATGTGAATATCAATGCTATGCCATTTTCCATACAAGCACTGAGGGAAGCGACCGTCGTTCTTGCAGGAAAAAGACGCACATCTGCCGTTGTGCCTCTCCCCTTGATGGCAAAATATTGCGAGCGAAAATTGCTCGCCAAAAGTTGAAAAATAAACTATTGTAATTATTTGCAAATCATACTGTGTCATGCGAAAGGGTTGTTGTGGAAAGTTTTTTTTTTCTTTAGTCTCACAAGGGTCGAAAAAACAGCAACATAAGGTTCTAATTTTGTGTAAGGGCATGTTAGTATGAGAGTAAGTATCGACAGGAAACAATAAGCCGAAAAAGATTTACGATTTCTTATTACCCTTTCATGTATTTTGGTCTGCTGCAGTCAATTTTTATGGTTTCAACTTAGACACCCATAATAAAATATTTACCAATACAATTGGACGAAAATATATCACTTTAAATGAAAATTATTTTAGCTCAATTGCCGCCACACAATTTTTCAGGTGTATAATATGCTTTCGGAGAGCGCAGGATATCGGGGTGTGCGTGATGGTGACTTTTTTTTAATATTTTTTTCTTCAGTTATGAAAATACCGCCTTCCTTTTATCTTCTCTTCCCCTTCCCGTTCCCCCCCCCCCCCCCCCCACCCCGGGTTCAGGGTGTCCCGCATTTCGCCTGCCGGAAGGTGGTCACCCTAATCCAGCTGACCCATTCGAGAAAGATGGCCCCAGCAAAGAATGCACGCGCTAGCGAGAACAAGCTCCTAACTTCGCTCGTGTGAGCTGAACCGTCAGTCTGGGACCAGAGATCTATGAACGCGGACCTCCGCTGAAGTGCTTGGATCTCCTGGGCGGAGCCGAACGGATCGTCGTGTCGCATGCAAGGTCGGAAGCGTGTGTCTCAAACTGTCGCGTACGGCGATTCGGAGCGGCGTTCGGACTGTCGGATCGGACGTCGGATCGGACGAATCTGCCGCACTCGGAGTGCGAATAGGGACACCCCACGCATCCACCGCAACGCACTGAAAGTCTGCATATGGCGCTGTAGTCGCGGCTGCAGCAAGCTGCAGCGTCGGGCGCGCAAAGGACCCTGGGGCGCCGGCGCGCTGGAGTTACCGGCGTCGCCCAGGCGTCTGTGGCGGCTGCTCCTGCTTGTGCGCGCAGACGCGCGACGCGACTAGATCGCATCGCAATATAATTAGATGGTCACACTGGCGTGCGCGATGAGCGAGTCCAACGCCTTCGTTGGCAAGTCGTTTCTCGAAAACTCTCGCTCCGAACGCCGTTAATTGGTTCAGCCGCTCCGCGACTAGATCGCATCGCAAAAAGTCGGGTCAGCAAGCGACTGCTCAAATCGCGTCGCTTTTTGACCGCGATGGTCGCTTTTGCTATGAATGTTGTCGCGCGACTCGATCGCATCGCCGGTGTGAACGCGCCTTTAAAGGGCAAGTCCGCTTCATTTTCGTTTTCCTCTTCAGTATCACCTACAGTGAGGTCAGCAACGTTTCGTCTCGGCGCTCAGCGGTGTCCACGTGACTGGCGCCTGCACGTCCTTCGTGCCATGGAATTCAATTTCATTCATTTTGTTTACTCCCATAATACAAAATGGGCGATGTAGGCAGGAGAAAAAGCTGCTAAATTGCAGCTCGACGAAGCCCCTGCCCCCTACAGGCAGATCGGTGGGGTATGATTACATTATTTGAAACAGAAAAAGGGCATTTATGCACCACTCCGAGAAATATGTTATTAGGAGGATAATATTCCACGCAATGTATTCTTATTTAAATCCAATACTGTTGGAAGTGTGTGCTGAATTATTTGAGGCCCGTAATTTAGTTCGTGGACTTGGTACTCTCAAGGATCCGGTGCTTCGTATTTCATATGCAATATTTTTGTTAGTTAATTTAGAAATTTGCCGTAATGGATGATTGGGAAATTCAAGTGATGCCACGTACATTGTTGCTAGCTTATATTTAAAATATTCTTTGATTTTCGTTACTTTATGTTTACAGAAAGAGGTTCAGTATCTGCGCAATAGGACTCATTAGTTACGATGCGAATTGCTTTTTTCCGCAGAAAAAAAAAAAAAAACAATTTATTAAAGTATGTACTTGTCGTAGTTCACAAAACTAGGAGAATTAAATAATGCATTGTAAATTAAAAGTTTTACATGCACTGGTAATATATAGCGATGCTTATATAAACACCTATGATGCTCGAGAGTTTGAGACTAAGATTTTGAACATGCGAGTCCCATATCATATGTTCGTGAAAATTACGCCTAATGTTTTAACAGTAGTTACACATTTAACCTCAGAGGAATTTGTCATTAATTTTGTGGTGGCATTACACACTGTACCTTTCGGTTTGAAGGTAATCGCATTTGTTTCACTTTCATTTATTTCTAGATAATTGGAAACAGTCCACCAACTAAGCATTTTTAGGCACATACTTGCATCGGTAATTAAACTATCAATTTTTTTTTCTAAAAAAAGTTATACTGGTATTATCTCCATAAATGACAGATGAGGCATTACTTGTGATAGTAACTACATCATTTATAAATGGGTTAAATAGCAATGGCCCCAAGACACTACCTTGAGGTACTGCTTTCCGAACTGTTTTCAGCATTGAAGAATATCCGTTTATTTCAACTCTTTGTTGCCGGAAGCTCCAGTAGCTTTCTATTAGAGACAGGGAATGCTCTCGATGTCCATAAGAATAAAGTTTTTCGTCATAACTGTATAACTCATTCGGTCAAAGGCTTAAAAAAAATTCTAAGGATAGACATTTGTTTTTAGTATTGCTTAAGAAAATTCATTTTGGCTAAAGAGCCAATTCAGTAGAATGACCTTTCCGAAAACCATACTGAGAATCCGTAAGTAGCCTTTTCTTTTTTTACAAAAATGATTAAGCCTGACATGAATAATTTTCTTTAAAGGGATACTTCAACGAAATTTGAAATACATCCGTCGTGTTCAAAAATAGGTTGAATATGATCCACAATATCCGTAAATGACAATCGCACGTTTGTATTTAGAGCCTAGTGGCTGTATATTTTGTTATAAACGGCCCACTCTAGCAAGCGCTCGGAGAAGGCCCAGCTTAGAGCACGTGACATACGACGCAATCGTGACGTAGGTCGTCTTGGGAGGAGCAAAGCTACGGCGAGGCTGACGTCGAGGGGGTGGCCTAGTCGTTCCAGCCACCGAAGCGGCTGCTTTTGTACGAATTTTGAGTGACGGGTTAATCTTCTATAATCTTGCAGGGGGACAATAGCTACTTCTGGAACACACAAAAGGTATTCTCGGGAACACGGGAGTTTCTCCTTCCCCTCTCCTCTCGTCGTGGCCGGAGGTGAGACAACGTCCGTCACTAGCTGTCAAGGTTCCTAGACGGGCATTACAAACGAGTCGTTAGCGACATCCACCAGGTGCTCTTTGCTAATCGTTTAATTCGTTCTAAAATTCCTTTTCATGACTTTTTTAACAAGATATTGGTATGTTCGATGTGATGCTGCACTTTTGAACACATATAGACCAAAAAATGAGCGTCAAAATTCGTTGTAGTATCCCTTTAATATCTATCCTATCTGATAAACTCACCCCCGTTGGGTATGTTCCCATTTTGTTAACGGGGTACACCGGCGATTTTTTCATGGTCTCCGATTTGCCTCCCCAAGTATTGTGGGAAAAGAAAAACATTTCGCAAAGTTATTGAATTTTCTCCTTTCTTTTTCATCGTGTCTCAAACCGGGATTGGCAACATTCAAGTGTGACGACAGAAATGGTACAAAGCGGGCAGTAAGCCTATCTTTTCAACTGATTACAGGACGTTTGATAGTGAGAAAACAATGC